CTGCCTTCCTGTTTGTTTCAAGGTTGAATTTACTGACTGTTTCCAAAGTTTCTAAATGTCAGAACCATGGATCCTGACTGATGTAAACTCCCAGGATTACACGGCAGACCTTTAGTGAACCGACTACGTTCTCCGAGATGTTCTTAGAGCAAACTTTAATTCAGAGCTGACTGGACCTTTGTAGTTTCTGTCCTCAATCCTCGAAGCAGTTTAACTTTTTTATTTGAGACACTCTGTTGATCTTTATTTCATTGCATTCAAGTCTAACAGAGCATCAATTTCTGTTCAAGCTGACAGTTTTATGCGTTTTATTTTAACTTTAACTGTTTTTGTTGCCTTGATCATTTCCTTGTCTAATCTGTTCATTTGCACAATTGTTTTTCTGTCAAATATAAACTAATATATATGGTTGACTGCTGGTATCAGTTAATAAACTAACTTTGGGTCTTTGGACTGAGGAACTAAAGCACTATCAATGCAATCAAACTGCCAACTTTAAAAATTTTCAATTTCCACTGAACATTATCACTTTTCAGCAAACCCTTTTGCGTAAAAAAAAAACAGATCAAAACCTTTAGAAATCAGACTGTCAACGTTTAAAAGCATATATTTGTTAGTTAAGTGCAGCAGCTGAGAAAGCTTCCAGAAATATTTGAAGTTAAGCTGGATTACCCCTTGAAGCCTGAAGTGATGTACATATAAAAAGACATTTTGTGCCGTTTTCCCTTCAATGAGATGACAAATTAAAATAATGTTACTAAATAAATAAAAATGAAGGTAAAGTATATTTTCTAACAGCTGTTTTAACTACATAATAACATACTTTGAATGGTATGGTGGCTGTTTGCCTACACTGCAAAAATGTTCTAAAAATAAGTAAAAATGTCTTAAAATAAGTGTATTTACCCTTAATATGAGTAGGAAAATAAGATGATCTGTCAATGCCCTTAAATTAAGATAATTAGATATTATGCACTTGAAATAAGAGACTGTATTTGTTGTTGCTTTTTTTCTTATTTTAAATGTAAATTGTCTTGTTCCAATTAATTTAAGAAAAAAATGCATTTTTTAAAAGAAAAATTGACTTACTTAGATTTACTTTTTTGCAGTGTAAGACAAGCGGTTTGTTGCTTATTAGTTTAAGTTATGAACATATTTTTTCATTTTATTTCAGAAAACTGCATTTAATTCCGTCATTTGTGACTCCATAATCTGTCCTGTAAGGTTTATTAAACCTTAAACGCAGGATTAAATGTAATTATCAGGAGCAAATGCGTCACATTTCCAGCTGATTAGCAACTCCTGATGTAAACAAACCACATCTGAGGTCTGCAGGCAGAAGGCCTGATGCTGCTGCTGTTAGCTCCAGTTAGCATAGCGCGCTAGCTAGCGGCTCAGATAACGGGAACCAGAGCAGCTGGAGCTCCGCTTCGTTCCGCTCCGGCTCACCTCTCGGTCCTTCAGGCCCAACAGCAGCACCTCCTCCATTAAGGTGAGCCGCGTTTCTTTGGAGTCTCCGCTGTCGTCTCGGTCCGGCTCCTCTCCCCGCGCGGCATCCTGCTCCTCTCGGCCGAGCTCGCGCTCTTTGTCGGCGGCGGTGCGCGAGGCTTCGGTGCGCCTCTGCACGAGGCCCGAACTTCTCTGAGTTATGGAAGTCATCTGTGGGAGAGGAGTCTGCTGAAGGACGGCGGAAAGCTCCCAGCTCTGCCCGCTGAGCCCTGAAGGTTCACCCGGCAGCCTGTCGGTCAGAGGGAGGCCGCATGGAGGGTCTCCGTCCGAACAGCAGCGCCTGAAGAGCCGCTCCACTTCCCAGAGTTCTGTCTAATATGGCGCCTTGTGGTCACTGGTGGAACCGAACTTCACCGACTGGAAGAGACCGACCTGCAACCACAGTCTGATGCTTGGATTCAATTAGGAAATAAAGGTTGACTTGTTTTCCCCCTCAGGGTGTTGTCATTGGAACGGTTCTAAATACATTAATATTTTATCATGTTTTATTAAATGTTGAATTTGCACCTTTACACTTTTGAACCTTTCTGTTTTCCGTCCTGGATCCAAAGTCTATAAATGTGTAATTTATGCTTCCAAACATTTCCATCCTGATAAAAAGACCTGATTTTAAAGGAAAACTTCACTAAAATTCAGAATTCAAACTTCTGAAATTACTTTAACTATGAAACTATTAAATACTGTTCAATAAATGATAAGTGTTTTTCATTTCATTTGAATGTGCTTTACTGGAGGCATCCATGTTTGTCAAAGAACACTACTGCCACCTACCGGTTTGTGACGTCACGGTGCGGTATCAGCTGTTGATCAAGTCCAGAGGCGTCAAGTAACGAAGTACAAATACTTCATTACTTTACTTAAGTACACTTTTTAGGTATCTATACTTTACTCCTTTAATTATTTTTCTCCCTCATTCTGACTTCTACACAAGTATCTGTACTTTCTATTCCTTCGATTTTAAGACAAAGGTTACTCGTTTCTCTTGACTTCGGTTTAATGTTTATAAATCTTTATTTCCCGTCATGTGTGCCATCCAATGCAGATCATTGGCTCCATCCACATTTAGTGAAAACTAGTGTCATTGGATGAGTCGTATAACGCAAACACTCATTGGTTAGCTAAAGGAAATCATCAGAAGCAAGCAGGTGTTCTTCAAACTGTGAGGTCATCAACAAGGGGTCCGTGACCCCTAAGGGGTCCACGAAGGTACTGCATGGGGGTCCCCCCCTTTCAATGT